TTATCAACAGAATACTTACAGTGAAAATTACAAAGATCGGGTCACTATAACCTATAGCTCCCATACAACTGATTGTTCAGATATAAAATTTTTCGTTATATAGCTAGGAACATGAAACTCCGCACTGTTTTCACTAATTATCAACAGAAAACTTACAGTGAAAATTAAAAAGATGGGGTACCTATACCCTATAGCTCCCATACAAGTGATTGTTCAGATATGAGATTTTTCGTTATAACTCCTCCATTTATATAGCTAGGACCATGAAATTTTGCGCTATTTCCACTCATTATCAACAGAAAAAATAACAAAGATCGGGTAACTATAACCTGCAGCCCCCATACAACTGATTGTTCAGATATGAGGTCTTTTATCATAACTCCTCCATTTATGCAGCTAGGAACATGAAATTTCGCACCATTTTCACTCATTATTAACAGAATACTTACAGTGAAAATAACAAGGATCGGGTGACTATAACATATATGTATCTTCCATACATCTGATTGTTCAGATATGGGATTTTACTGTAAAACTCCTTTATTTGGACAGCTAAAACGATAAATTTCGTAAGATATTTTATAAATAATAATACAAAGTCTACTGAGAAAATCGTCAAAATCTATGCTGTATAAGCTTTATCTCCTATACCACTGATTGTTCAGATACCAGTTTTTGCGATATATCTTTATGTAGGAAACTAAACCCAATAAATTGTGTTACCGGTTTACATACCGATCACATAGCAGTGAAAATCACTTAGATTGGTGCTAATATAAGGTATATCTTCAATACCTCTGATTGTTCAGATGCGATTTTTTATATAGGTATGTAACTCCTCTATCGATGTATGCAGATGTATTCAAAAGCAGTAATCTGTCAAAGTAAAATTTGTAGATGTTCATGAAAGGTATGAAGCCATCGGCATAGCCGAAGACAGCGCTGCTCTTACTTGTTTTTCATTACATTCGGTTCTCGTTAGAAAAATTTGGCGCTTCATATTTTAGTGGAAATGTTAACCATCTATAAGCCATTTTTTCCAACAGTGGGTCAAAAAGGCCCATTCTGGTTCGAGTTGATGGGTTAAACTTTTGGAAAAAAGTAGACCAACCTTGTTTTCAATATGTAATCCGCAAAAAATCGTAGGAACTCCGTAATTTAATATAACGGTTGATAAGATTATTGCAAAAATTTATTGAGAGCGACATAAATTACCCCAACAACTAAACTTTTAAAATTTTTTTATTTCTTTAAATTTCAATAGCATAAACGGATCTGTAGAGAACATAGAGATCCGTGTGATTATGTATGTATATACCTCAGACCTTCTTCTGTTCGCCCATCAATCAGCGCCAGACACTCAACATTTTAATTCAAGTAGGAAGTAACAATATTTAAATTTAAAACTAATTCAATAAAGAAATAAATAGAATTATAATAACAGAATAATTGGCATCGCGAATGCCTAACGCTGACGAGTTGAAATGATAAGATTAGTAGCCTCATGGCTCTTTGAAATCTACCTTATGAGCAATAGCGCCGGCGTTTCCAAACGCGCCGGCGTCGCCGCCGCCGCCGAATATTTTTGAAGTTGACCACGCCGCCGCCGCAAAGTCTGTCGGCGTAAACCTCTAATCCAGAGTCGACAAATTCAACAAAGCATTAAGAGCCCTTCCTGACGTTGTACTCATGGCGCCTGTAATACCTATACATACACTCCTTTGTAGCCTGTTTAGCACAGAAGCCATGGTTTTGCCCATAGTTCTGCGTCACTATACTATAGCAGAATACGTGACGATTGGCCAGACTAAAGCTATGTATATCCAAAATACCATAGCCGGTCTCAGACCCCAGGTCTTGCTAAAGGTTATTCGACACTGTCCGAAAACTTTCATCGCTCAATTTACCTTCAGCTCGACGTGAGTTTTCCATGCCAGCTTCGTATCTAGAGTTACCCCTAGATATTTCACATTCACGGGAAGGCTTAAGTTTACGCCTCTAAGCACTGGAAGGTTGAGGCCTTCCAATTTTCTCTTCCGCGTAAACAGGACTAGGGTTGTCTTGCTGGGATTGACAGCAATACCCTGTTAAGTGCACCATTCATCAATCTTATTCAGGGTTCTCTGTGTCTTAACACAAACCTCCATGAGAGATTTACCTGATGACAGTGCACAGACATCATCCGCGCAAGCTTGGATGTGAACGAAGTCTTGCATTTCCGTTAGTAGGGAGTCCACTACCAAACACCACAAGAGAGCTGAGAGCACCCCGCCCTGAGGGCATCCTCTCCCAACTTCTGCTATGGTATAAAGGCTAGCTTCTCCTGATAGCATGAAGTGCATCCACCTTATGATGGTTTTGTTTACACCATGTCTTCTGGCCGCAGAGCACATGGAGTCAAAAGTAGCATTGTCAAACGCCCCCTCAATATCAGCGAAGACTCCCATTGCACACTCACCTGCTTCCAGCCCCACCTCGATGGGGCACCGAAATTGCGCATATGGAAACTGTGCATTTAGACATTATTTCGGTTTCAACCGAAACTGTGCATGTATGCTTTATTTCGGTTTTTACCATATGCATTATTTCGGTTTTAAACCGAAACTGTGCATGTATGCATTACTTCGTTTTTTTTCATATGCATTATTTCGCTTTTAAAACGAAAGTATGCATATGCATAATTTCGGTATTTTCTCATATGCATTATTTCGGTTTTCAACCGAAACTGTGCATGTATGCATTACTTCGGGTTTTTCATATGCATTATTTCGGTTTTCAACCGAAACTGTGCATGCATGCATTATTTCGGTTTTTGTTATATGCATTATTTCGGTTTTCTAACGAAAGTGTGCATATGGATAATTTCGCGTCTTTCACATATG